CGAGGAGCTTACGAAAGACACCAATTGCTTTCAAATTAACGATTTCAAAGGTACAATGTATTGAACGGATTTGTAGATTTGTTTGGTCCGATAAATGCATTTCGAAAATGAAATTGAATAACCTATTTAGAGTAAGACGATGTCAATTTGTTACAAGACTATGTTTTCATCGATGCCATGGAACATTTGCAAAGACTGAATTGACAACCCAGGGGAAAGATAAATTAATATCTGACCGTACAGGGTGTTAACTCAGTTTTCTAATTGAATTATCGTTCAAAAATGTTTTCAAGAGTAGTAATATTCTGATATTTGCCTCGATTTGACGAAATTTGTTCCAATATCGAAAAAAACTCAACGATTACATAAAAAAGCTAGAAGTATTATCATCGGACATCTAGAATAAATTTAATGGCTTCAAATATCTTTTACTCAATTGAATTGTATCTCGCAAAAAATTTGGAATTTTGAAAAATAGCTCAGATTAAAAAGGAGCTTGGCCATCCATGCTGTATAGGGTAATCAAATACTCAATGGTTTTGGGTACCTTGGCGTCTAGTTAGCTTTAGATTTCGTTTTTGAATCAAATTTCTCTCAAATCTTTTCTTCAACTTCAATTCTGATCAATGTTTACATCCTGCGAACCTCTTATCCAGTGAATTTATATTTATTAAAATCCAAACAGTTATTCATATAGTTTTTCCGTCACTTTTGCCCAAATACGGACGACCGACTTCTCTTCCTCATTGTTTGCAAATGCAACGGATCGTATCGCTCCGTGAAAAATTAATAAAACTTATTCCTAATGACGCTCACGATTTAAAGGAGAAAGTTTTCAGTTTCATTGTTTTCAGGTCTTGAGGACATAGAATCAATTTTGAAATACTCCTATCATTGTTTTGACTCAGTGTCGTGTGCGTTATTGTATGTTACATTGCTTGGATAACTAGTCCAGATGAATTTCGTTAATCAATCTTTCTGAAGTAATCGAATTTCATTAATCCAATGGGCCGATACTTGATGAAAATATGAATATATAATTTAAATAAAACTAAGTAGTTTTTCTATTTTCACTATAATTAATTCAAAAACATTACAATGTCGTTTCGCCAACACAGTGGCTTCATCAGATATTGATGATAAACTGAGCTATTACATTGTGGACTGCTTTTATTTATCCTGAAGTGCATGAGGTAAGGAATGACCATAGAACCCTGTTCTTCTTTTGTAGGGGAATTACTATAGAACATATTTCTTCTGAATTGTGTAGGATGACCAAAGAATACTTTTCTTCAATTGCATTTTTACTGGAATAAATTTAATAAAGGAGAATTGTTGATTGAAACTTGATCATTTAATAAACTGTTTAATTTCTTCTTTTTATTAATTTCCATAGCTTCTAACAGGGTTATTTCATAACCTTTAAGCTCCATATGCAGTATTTTAAAGTTGCAAAACTTTAAAATACTGCATATTTTTAAATACTTTTAAAAGATGTGTTGCTCCGTATGCGACACATCTTTCAAAAGAGAATCATGTCTTTGACAACAACTTTAAAATCTTGTATACGAAGCGTAAAGGTTATAAACTAACCCTGTTAGAAGAAAAGGTAATTAATAAAAGGAAGAAATCAAACAGTTTATTAAATGATCCAGTTTCAATCAATAATTCTTCTTTATTAAATTCACTCCAGTAAAAATGCAATCGAAGAAAATTATTCTATGGTCATCCCCCACAATTCAGAAGAAATATGTTCTATAGTCATTCCCCTACAAAAGAAGAACAGGGTTCTATGGTCATTCCCACGCACTTCAGGATAAATACAAGCAGTCCACAATGTAACATCTTCAACAATCAATATTCAATGTTTATCAAGAACATCTAATGAAGCCACTGTGTTGGCGAAACGATATTGTCATGTTTTTGAATTAATTATAGTGAAAATCGAAAAACTACTTTTATTTAAATTATTAATCGAATTTCTTTCAACTACGATTTCAAATTTTGCTAGTTTGAGTTGAAAACTGAATTTAAAAGATATACCTACAAGAATGCCTGAAACTCATATTCCTTTTCAACACAGAACACATCTATATTTTTTCCAATTTAAAACGCATAAACCACAGAATTTATCAGCGAAGATACATAACAATCATATTCCTCTCATCTCACAAGTCGACTGAGAATACACCCTGTCCAGTTTAAACGGGGAGAAATTTAATATGAAGTACAGAAGAATGAATAACTTGAAAAAAATGGTATTCTTAAAATTATCTGTTCAAAAAACGAAACATTTTGAAAATATCGAATTGAGTAAAATATAAAAAGTTAAAATTAGCGTGTATAATATTTCTAGGGATTCTAAAATATAAAATTTTGCTCTCGTCTTCAGAAGGATTGATCTTCTGAATTAATTAAATTTGTCTTTAGTTTCGCTTCCGGTACGAGTTCAGTTTTGTATGAAAAAGAAGATTTATAAGTCACAGATTGTGTTTTAACAAAAGGTGACTAATTTTCCATTCCTTGATCGAAGTATGTTGAAGAAGTGAACCTGTCAAACTTCTCTAAATTCATTCCAGGAATATATCTTTGTATCCAAGTTGCGTTTCCTTTTTTTCATCACTATATCTATAATTCTAGAGTTGTATTTCGTATTTGAGGTTATGGATTTGATGATACAAATGATTTCGTCAATTCTGTAAGAACCATAGAATTGAAAATACCTTTTATTGATATGGATTTATAACATGATTTTTCTATTCCTACAAATTGAAAAACTTTAAGAATTATTCCTATCAATTCGACTTCTCTCACAAAAAACAATCAAGAGGTAAAATTCATTCACCCTTAGCAACTAATTGCTATAAAAATCATCACATCACCTATTGATGATTGACCAGATTGAAATCATGTATTCTTCTCCATTTTATATTCCTGAAAACCAGTGTATTTTCAGCATATATTTCGAACAATATTAATTTATTGAGATTGAGCGTTAATGATTCGTTAATGATGTTAATGAAGAACTCTCAAAATGTATCGAATTGTTAAAAAATAAAACATTATGATTATGTTCTATGAGTTTAAGGAGCTTACGTTGTTATATATTCAGTTTAAAATCAAATTACCAGAAGATTAAAATTCAAAAGATTTAGATAATTTTAGATAATTAAAAAATCTTCTAATGAGAAATTAAAAGAGTGGGTATACGAAAACGTACCGTTAGGAATCAAACTAAATATTGTATATAGACAATATGAAAAGAATATATTTATTTAATGTTATTGATGACAGTTTTACTGCCAACAACTATTACATATGTTTTTTTTCATTCACTGGACCTACAGTTTAACGCCGGTTGCAAACGGCCATTGGGCTTGTAATCAATGTGCATTACTCAGCATATATCATTATTTTTAAACTACTTAAGTCGTGACAAACACAAACACCCATGCCTTCAGCGGGACTCGAACCCGAGTTCCACCGCACCATAGTCGGTTGTTCTACCGACCAAGCTACGGAGACCGGCTACATATGTTTATGTTTATTACCAAGGTAGAGAAAGTCAAATGGAATGAGAATTGAAAAAAGAATTAGTGTATGAGAGGTATTGTATGAATGAGGGATGTGTGCCTCGAAGATTTTTTGTGTGCTGGTGCACACATAATCTAACCAGCATTATTATTCTGTTATTATTGTTCTATTTCTTTTTTGTTGTTTCTCCTTTTTGTAAAACAGACCTACGAACAGGAAGTATTATTTTCCTTTGCAGGATTTGCGGCGCTGTTTGTGTTCTTTTATTTTGTTTAATAAAATTGTACTTGAGATTGGCTGTAAATGTTCCGATGTAACTCTGAATTAAAAAAAAAATAAAAATAAACAAAAATAAATAAATAATAAAAACAAAATTGGTTGTTTTCGTCATAATGAACTATCACGTATTTAGGTATAATAATCATTGCATGAAAATATTGGGCAAAAGTCATGAAATAAATCAATTTGACTGTGAATTACTATTTATGAAGGAATCTTTGTGTTACAATTTCGAATAATCTATTTGTTTGAAGTTACCGTCAAAACTGTACGACGATACCCTTTGATCTTCGATTATAGATTTTTATTGAGGTGGATGTATGTATAATGATAATGAAATTTATGTCTAGATATTAGATAAGCACTGTTCAAATGACTAGAACGTATAAAGAAGGTATCGTCAAACTCAACAAATATACTAAAATGAGAGGTAATAATAAATACTTGTCTAGAATTCACTGACTGTATTTATTTTATTTTTTTATTTATTTTATTTTATTTTATTTATTTTAGACAAGTATTTATTATTACCTCTCATTCAAATATGAACTATCACAGAGTTGATTCATCGTCCATTGAATTTATATACTGAAATTCCATTCAAAGTTGTCTTAATACCTCATGTTTTTCATTTTCATTCATATTTTAACGGCCTGTAACTTTCAGCTGCAATCCGTTAGTCTCTGTTCTTTTCGTCTATAACAAGCATTTCCCTAGAATATCAGAATCAATTTTCTTTAATTTACTCCATATATGTAATACTAACTTCTATTCCAAGAATATTCTATCCTATTTTCTTCTATTCGGTTAAAAAGTTACACTTCTTTTCGACTTCACTTGCTCGTAACTTATAATAAAAGTAAATTGTAAATAGTGAAGGAATGATTGAAGTGATGAGAGGAGCCATCTATGATTTTGTTTGAGTAGCAACTATAGAGAACTTTATCTGTTTGCAGAGATTCCTCAAGATTCGTTGATTCAATATCAACTTCAAAGTTCTTCAACTTCATTTAATTGGAACAATAATATTCTAAAATTAGTTAATTTAACGAATTCTTGATAACTTTTCTTTTCGAAATGTAATTCCAATGAAATTCATTAATCCTTGAGATGAAGTTTCAAAGTCGATTTACCTAATAATTTCGGACACCTGAGTAACAGTTTCTTGTTTCCACATAACGCGAGATGCCGATCTTCGTAGCTTAGTTGGTAGAACTCCCGACTAGAACTCGGGTTCGAGCCCCGCTGAAGGCATGGCTGTTTGTGTTTGTCTCTGATTTAAGTTGTTAATATAAAGGAATATGCTGGGTAATGTACATCGATTACAAGCCCAATGGCCGTTCGGAACCGGCGTTAAACTGTAGGTCCACTGAATTAAAAAAAAAAAAATAACGCGAGATCTTTATCATAAAAATAGGCATTAAATTAAAATCCAATCTTTATGCACTTCATTGGAGGAAATTGCATATATTTTGCCTGTTACAATTTCATCGTATGTCATAATATTGAATTTTCATTTTCAGATTTTAATGAAATTTCACTTCTCAATGGTCAATATATATGAACGAAATGTGTTTTTGGTATCTTTAATATCACAAAATAGATATTGAAGCTGTTCCTCAATTTCCATATCAGAAAAATTTCAATCTAACAACACATTTTCACGCTTCAAAATACTAAGTGATAATAACTTCCATATAATTTGATTTGAATGTATGTATATTTTTCCGAATACTATGTTTCAACCTGTCTCTAGAGTTTGCCTTTTCTGTGATGAGTTTCTTATTGGAAATTAATTCAATACCTAGGGCGCTACTATTTAGGAGCTTGAACCAATTAACAATTACTGAAATGATGCTGCATAACTAGATTATTTAACGGATAGCTATTAGTTGGAAGCTATTCATCAAATTACCTGAAAAGCGAGTAGGTATGCAAGCTCGATTAAAATCTCAATGCCCAATCCCACACGAATTTACTTTTCTGGATACGGTTGGTTGTCGTAAAAATTAATCCAATAATGTATTTTGAAGAGAAATCTGTGAAACGTGAGGCACTGTTGGGATCGCACTAAATAATTTGCATACGTTATTTGCGGTTTGAATGCGTGGAAAACGTTTCAAATCTGATTGATAGTCCTAATAATCATGCGAAGAGAATATAAAATCATTTTGGGTTACGTTGTCAAGGATTTATGTTAGCGAATTTTGTAATGAGTTGCCTCAATAATGTGAATTTCAACATTAGTTTCCATGTGCAATGAATTTATCATTTTCGGAATCTAGAATATAATTTCGGGCGTTTTTGTTAGCTCCTGATCCTCACGCCTCCTCTCGAATAACACTCTCTGCTAATTATTAAGTGGTAGGTATATTTTACATAACATATTCCCAGTATTACGAATTCTCTTGTTGGAATGCAGTTCGTAGATAAAGCAATAACATTCATATAAAATTCATATAAAAACATTCAATTACATTGCAAATACATTCTATGAAATAAATTGCATTTTATAGAATGTATTTGCAAGAATAATAAAAATCAAAACAGGAGAAGCATAATAAAATTTTAATTCAATACATATAATAAAACTTGCAGTATTTTAATCCTATTTTTAATCTCAAACTTAGGAGCTGGAGTTTCAGAAGTTTCATGAAATCTCGTTCTTCCCTTTGAGAGTTGTAGGAGTTCGACTGAAAACTTCGGAAACAATTTACGTTCATTATTTTCTTGTATTAAAAATACCCTTATCTCAAACATTGCTTGAATTTTCTTTTGAGTGCTTCAAATTCGTTATATAATAATATAATTTCGTTAGCGATAAATAGGATTCTGCAATTCTGATGTACAAGGTCTTCTGAATTCTGAATAACAAGAATTTTGAATGGAAATACTAAACGGTCAGGAAAACTTTCCAGTATATGCAGCAAATATTTGGAAAATTCGAATTATTGCCGCAAAATAACAGTTCACATGAATACAAAAACTGTCATTTACAACATCTTATTCTCGTATAGTTATTAATTTCCTATAGTTCTCAAACATTACTATATAGAATTGAATTGTTTTGGCATTCACTTGGTGCAAATCCATTATAACATAATTCAAACACTTGAATTTGGTTTGTACGTCTGTTGCCATAACGTGAGGCGTTTCGTCGGTATAACCGACTTCTTCAGAGTAAAAGGCGTTGGCAGAGTTAAATTATATTCCTAAAGTCTAAAGAAATCGGTTATAACGACGAAACGCGTCGCGTTATGACAATGAAAGTGTGAATAAAATTCAAGTGTTCGAATTATTTTAGAGTACCTGTACCTATACTATGTTGTGTTGAAAAACAATCGAATTATTGACGAAAGTGGTTATCACTTTTCACGCGTCATGCGAAAATATTTCCATCGAAATATCTTCGTATTTTGGATCCAATGATTAGAAAAATACATATAGATACATAATCATTAAATTTCCAATTCATTCTTGAAATGGACCATTTTAAAAATTAGCTATTCTTGAATATCTTGGAAGTCTTCACACCGTAACAAATACTGTAAAGTGTATAATACGTTCGATCTATAAAAAACAAAAAACCATGTTTTTTATCAATTAATAGAAAGCAACAGTGTGTTATAAACTGTTGGTATAAATTTCGAAAAGAAACTTAGAAATCAATACATGATGGATAAAGAGGTGATTCAAGTACAGATCAAATTGTTTTTTTATATTTGTTTGTTATTTGCTTACTCGAAATCCAATATTACTGAATATAAATAGAGTATTACATAGATTGCATTAATTTCTTAGCAATTCGTTTTCGGATTGTTAAGCATACTCTTTATGTACATTTAAAATTCTGTTCCTTTCGAAATATTTGGATATTTAACGAATATAAATGATTCATTTTAATTTTCTCATCGGTCTTTATTTAAACGTAATGATATTCCTTGAAAATTATAGGCTGTGAGATTGAAAAAATGAATTCTGGTTTATAATAGGTAGAAAATATACTTCTTAATCCAATTTTAAATTTAGCATTTTCCTCCTACAAATATGCCAAACTAAGCTGTATTTCAAATTATAATCTGCCATTTCAGAGTTTTTGTTAAGTTTATTCAAATATATTATGAATGTAAAACGTTGAGCTGAAATTCTATTCAAAAATTATATTTCAATACAAATCGTCTATTTGTAGGTGTAATTTTTTCAATATGTTATACATTATTCTGAGTCCAAAAGCTTTAACATGATGTGAAAACTTAGGAAATTTGAAGAAATTATTTTTTTCGATTTGTTTAAATTAAAAAAATTTGTTAATTTTTCAATCAACTGAAAATGATGAACTGTTTGAACTTGTTCATAGAACATATTGAGCTATCTATGTAATTATCTGTTGCAAAGAGGGTTTTCTCCTGAAACCTGAAAATGAAAAATACGCTAGATGGCAATACGAAGGCCGACTACTGCATGATTGGTTATTTTTGACATGACATTGACAGATATGTCAAAATTCACCAATCACGTAGCAGTTAGATTTCATATACACGTATTGCCATCTAGTGGATTTCTCATACGCGAAAACCCTCATTGTGATATGGCAATTAATGATCGAATCGTTTGGTTTTGTGAGGCGAATGGGATGTGCCTTCTCGAAAATTCTTGGATAACACCTTCAGAAAACGTATATACCAACAGCCCAAAATTACGCCAGAACCATAATTATTCATGTAGTGTCCACAGTAACCAAAATTCAAAAAACATTCGTCGACATTATTCGATATGCACTGTATATTAATCGAATAATTAAAAACTTGGGTTGTTGATCATTCAACTGCATATATTTTATAGAATGAAACATCCCGGCATATTTGTATTATACTTATTTCATCATATTCTCTTAATTATCTTTCTTATATGCAAATCATGAACGAAAGTTATAATAGAAGTTTCCTTAGTATAAAATTACACCTTCCCATAACCTTTCAAAACCACTTCCTAGAGTGCTCTTATTCTGAACACCTCAATCATCTGCTTCCCATACATTGTCGACGTACCTACATAATTTCTCAATCTTCCTCCTCTATGTTATCGCTGAGATCTGCAATCTCCTACAAGAATAAGCTACTCCTGTCATCACCATGTTTAATGATGCAGTTAAATATGATTCTCGAGTTACCATAATTGAATTACATCCAGTATAATGGATATTCATAAAAGACCTACTACTGTGAAGCTATATAATTCATACTCAGTACTTCTTTGCGGTGTTCCATTGTCTAGAAACCAACAATTGACAATCGGTGAGATTCATGTCAAAGTGGCCTTTTGTATCGATCGATTTCACGTCAAGATTGTGTTGTTCGATTGAACAGCGGAAAAAGATGAGAACGATAATATAATATCTATTAATTGTTTAGTTGAACGATATCGAATAAGATCGGAACAAGTTAACTGAATCGATTTTGAAACTTTTGTAGGTATTCGACGTTTTCAACAAATTTCATTCGACATTAACCAATCCTAAACCCAATATCATGAAATCTTTTTGGGTATACCCTAAATGCTATTATCAGGAAATTAAGTAACATTCTAACAAGACACCAGCAAACTTAAATTTTTAATATGTTCTGTTTTTGAACAGAAATGAACTTAGAAGAAAGAATTGAATCAAATAAATGGATAATTTATTTTATATACATAAGATAATAATCTTATATACATTAATCGATTGGACCGATACTTGATGAAAATCTAAATACATAATTTAAATAAAACTAAATAGTTTTCTGATTTTCTTACTGAAAACTAAAAATTTTTTTACTGAAAGTAGTTCACGCTCATTTGAGTTGCTCTGTAATGCGTAAACTGTACATTTGAATCTCGATTAACACTATCCCTTGCATCAATTGTGTGGTATAATTGTTGAAAAAACGATTAATGCTTGAAAATCTTATGTTTTTAAAATAGAATTGTGTAAAAGTAAATAAACCAGATTGCTAATATAATAGGTCCAAGGAAAACAATTCATGCTTGAACAAAATTACTTCAAATATATATATTTAGGTAATGGTCAACTTATTGAGGTTACTATTATAGGCAGGACCATACAAAATTGAACCATAACTCAGGATAGACTCCACTAATGCTTTCTACACTATCATAATTACTTATCTGCTCATATAAAGAAAACAAACATTATGGTAGTCCCAATTTATAAATCTGGACAAAAGAAAGACATGTACAATTATAGACCAATATCA